CACACACACACACACACACACACACACACACACACACGCACACACACACACACACGCACACGCACACACACAAAATGAAATAGACAGCAAGCAGAGTGAGAGAAAAGTTATTTTCCATCAGCAAAATAAAGAAATGCAGAACCTGGAGACAAACACCTTTTATCCTTAGTCTCAGTGAAAGGTTCCACAGTGATTAACGTCCTCCTGATATGGTCACAGTTCAATCTTAGTCTCTGAGAGRGATGGAGGCAATGATAAGCTTTGGAACTGTTTGCCAAAGCATGGTTCAGAGTGTTCGTTTTCATTTAATCAGCCATCTCTGCTGCTGTTAGTGTCTCTCAGTCATTGTCACAGAAATTAGCCAATTTGCATAAAAACATACATTGTGTCTCTCCTCTGTCTTGTTATTTGGAATATAGAGCAACTCCAACAAGTTCAAGAAGGCATGCACAGTTACAGTATTTACATATGCTGCTGGAAATGTAAAGTGGGTTATAATGGGCACACTTAGCCATTTAGTGAGTTTTGTCCTTTTTGCTCAGCCTTAAGTTTTCCAGTGAGTGATTCATGCTAGTATYTGGCCTTTTCTTAGCCTGCCCCAGATCTTATCACAATCCACCAGACTAATTCTGTATTCAGAAGAATGCACACCCGCAGAGAAAGCTTTCTTCAACTTATTGAAATGCGGTGAGGGCTGTCTTGTCAGTTGTAAAATTGTCTGAAACCAAGACAAAAGCACAGTGGAACTGCTAGCTCATAAATCACTGTGCAACATTCCCTTTGACACATGCTAACTCAACATCCTACTATTATCAGGCTTTTCCAAATATCACTGCACAGATACTGAGCTACTGTGCAGAATCAATGAACTAGTCAAACAACTGAGGATTGAAGAGCTCTGCATGGATGGAATAGCTGATAACAATGCAGCCTCTARAATGTTGTCTTGGACCTTTCAGTTGTGCGAGAAGTCATTTCACTGCTTCTGTACAGAAATATTCAGCAAAGTTAAGCCATATGGCAATTTCTCCACATTCTATATGTCATATATGTTTATCCCARTATGACTTTAGCTTGCCAGAAGGATTCCTAAATAAGGTCTGAGAGATCATTGCCGCAGTGTTGGCTGTTTTAAGTAGTTCCGTCAATCACCAACGCKTTGACAACACTCCCTCTGCATGCAATTTTTCAGAGTACACAATAATTTACATGCTGCAGCTGGACGTTCTCGTGCCGGCTACAACACTGTGCTGGCATAGGGACAGCTCTACATCCTGAAATATAGTGCACACTCTTGTGCTTGCAATTTGGTTAAAATGGTCCCCCCTTGAATAACAAGAATGTACATATCTTAATCTCATTTGATAGCTGTGCCTAGACAGAGTAATCTCTTCCAACATTATGTGCAGCATGAAGCTTATCTCTTTAAAGAGGATGCTTTTTCTTGTTTTACCATGAAACTGCTTCTGACTGAGAGAGCTTCAAAGGGCTTCTTTGTTTCATAATGTGCATGCAGCTCATTCATAGGCTTGATCTTCTTCTTTTTTCCTCCCCCCGCTCTCCTTTTCACATCTTTTTCTGTCCCTTCTCTCCATCTCTTACTTGCTTCATTCCTTTCTTCCCTCCACTGATGTATGAGTCCTTACCATACACAATTTATTGTAAACATTAGGAAAGCATTTACTCCCAACAACTATTGCCAGGTTTTTTTTTTGTTTTTTTTTTTGGTTTCTCGTGTGGATTACTGATGCAGTTCTTTTCATTCACTTCCAGCTTTACTTTTGCATAGATGTGACTCTTCTAGAGCTAAAAGCCTTTTCTAATGTGTAGGATTTTTACTATTCCACTCCTTTTGATTTAAGATGATGTGGTCTTACAGTGTACTTAAATACATGTTTRTTGGAGTGTTTCCATTTCCATCAGTCTTTTTCTCTCCAATAATGAATCTGGAAAACTGCAAGGTTCCCTGCTCTATTCTAACGTGACACAAGATTGGAGGATAAAATGAAATCTCATTTTAGTGAAGGCAGAAGAAATCTGATGAGAGGAAAATGAAGTAAATTAATCCATTCAAGCTGTAGTTACTCTGAGGACAGAGAGATTTAATTTACTACAAGGTTTGGTCACATTGGAAAAAGGATTAATTACTTGTTTTATTTTTTTTTACACAGTTGTGCTTCATGGTGTGTAAAAATATATATAAAATGTGAAACAATTTGATGATTAGTGTGCATACACATTCATCTAACTGGGCTGTACCAATGATTTAGCTTCACRGGATGTTAAACTTTATTTTCATCAATGCAAATCAAAAGAGCTGCAAATAAAGCTGATTAACCTTAAAAAATGTTAGTTGTTTGTGTTTAAAAAGGAAATGACCAAAATCTTAAGTTTATATAATTTCCTTATAACTTTCGTTATAAGAGGTGTAAGTACTCTTACATAAGCAAAACTGTGTCATACTGTTAGTTGTGGTATCTTTTATGTTTTTGAATATTAAACTGTTTGTTTTAAAACTTGTAAAGTGTTCAAATTGTTTTGATGTAAATATAATATAACTTACCGAAGATGTCTTATCTTTTTCAGAGTGTCAATGAGTTTGGCTTAGACATCATTGAGACCCCTGAAGGAGACAAGTGGCCTCAACTCATCGTTCAGCAGAACCTTGATCGGGAGCAAAAAGACACCTTTGTAATGAAGATCAAGGTGGAGGATGGTGGCAGCCCTCCCAAGTCCAGCACTGCTATTCTCCAAGTTACCATCTCAGATGTTAATGACAATCGCCCTATCTTCAAGGACAGTGAGCTGGAGGTCTCAGTGCCAGAGAATGCTCCAATGGGGACATCTGTCGCACAGCTWCATGCCACAGATGCAGACTTGGGTCCCAACGCACAAATCCACTTTGCTTTCAGCAGCCAGGTCTCCTTCTCAACCAAACGCCACTTTGCTATCAACAGTTCTACTGGGCTGATCACTGTGAAGCAACCGTTGGACAGAGAGGTAACGCCTGTTCATAAACTCATCGTCCTCGCAAGTGATGGCAGCTCAAGTCCATCCAGAGCTACAGTGATTGTTAATGTCACCGATGTCAATGACAATGTGCCCTCCATAGACACTCGCTACATCATCAACCTTGTAAATGGGACTGTTCTGCTCTCGGAGAATGCACCTCTCAACACAAAAATAGCCCTTATAACTGTAACTGACAAGGATGCAGATCTCTACGGCAAAGTGGCTTGCTACACCGACCATGATGTTCCTTTCCGGTTAAAGCCAGTCTTTAATGATCAGTTTTTACTAGAGACAGCTGCTCCTCTTGATTATGAGACAACCCGAGAATATGCTATTAAGATCGTGGCCTCAGATAGAGGGACACCTCCTTTAAATACTTCAGCTATGGTTCTAATTAAAATCAAGGATGAGAATGACAATTCACCTATCTTTCCCCAGCCTGAAATTCAGCTTTCCATACCAGAGAACAATGACCCTTCAACACAGTTAATAAAAATCAGTGCCACAGATGCGGATAGTGGACATAATGCTGAGATTATTTACACCCTTGGCCCTGATGCACCTGATGGGTTTAATGTGGACAGACAGTCAGGAATTCTCTCTGTTGGGAAGCGACTAGACAGAGAGAAACACGAGAGGTACTCATTCACTGTCATTGCAAGAGACAATGGTTCAACCCCCCTACAGAGCAATGTCACYGTTAGGCTAATTGTCCAGGACCTTAATGACAACAGCCCAGCTTTCACACACCCTGAGTACAACTTCTATGTGCCTGAGAACCTGCCTCTCTATGGCACTGTTGGTTTAATCACAGTGACTGATTCAGATGCAGGAGATAATGCTGTTATAACCCTATCCATTTTGAAYGGGAAAGACAATTTCATCATTGACCCACAAACTGGTGTGATTAAACCTAACATCACTTTTGACAGGGAGCAGCAAAGCTCCTACACATTTATGGTCAAAGCAGTTGATGGAGGGCAGCCTCCCAGCACGTCTTATGCCAAGGTCACTATTAATGTAGTAGATGTGAATGACAATCGCCCTGTATTTGTCATTCCTTCCTCCAATTACTCATATGACCTAGTACGGACCACTACCAACCCYGGTTCTGTGGTCACCCGAGTGTTTGCCATAGACAATGACACAGGTATGAACGCTGAGCTGCATTATAGTATTATCAGTAGCATCATCATCACATCTAGGGTCTCCCCTCGAGGTCTCTTTTCCATTGACAAAACAACGGGTAACATAACGTTGCAAGAGAAAATAGTATTGGCTGATCAGGGACTGCATAGGCTGGTAGTCAAGGTTAAAGATTTAGGCCAGCCTGAGTCATTACATGCTATCACTCTTGTTCACYTGTTTGTCAATGACACTGTGTCAAATGCTACCTTTATCCAAGAGCAGCTGCGGAGAAGTATGGAAACACCRTTGGATCGTAACATAGGGGACAACGAGGTAACACCTCAAGCTAATGGATATGTAATTGTTGTAATTGCTATTATAGCAGGAACCATGACTGTCATCTTGGTGATATTTGTCACTGCCTTGGTGCGATGCCGGCAGACACCCAGACAGAAAGTAGTTCAGAAGGGCAAGCAGAGTGGAGAGTGGGTGTCACCCAACCAAGAAAATCGTCAGATCAAGAAGAAGAAGAAGAGAAAGAAGCGATCTCCCAAGAGCCTTCTCTTGAACTTTGTGACTATAGATGAATCCAAGCCTGAAGACCCCACACATGAGCACGTTAATGGTACACTGGATCTCCCTGTGGAGCTGGAAGAGCAAACAATGGGAAAGTATAATTGGGCGACCACACCCACGACCTTCAAACCTGACAGCCCAGATTTAGCCAAGCATTACAAGTCGGCATCCCCTCAGCCTACATTTCAAATCAAACCAGAAACTCCTGTGGCCCCTAAGAAACATCACGTGATCCAGGAGCTCCCATTGGACAACACATTTGTGGTGGGCTGTGACTCACTCTCCAAGTGTTCATCGACTAGCTCCGACCCGTACAGTGTCTCAGAGTGCGGCTGTCAGGGGGGATTCAAGACTGCGGGGCAAATCACCACCCGGCAGGTAATTCATGACTTCTTTTTTAAACCCACCCACACTAGTTCCCACTCCCACTCCCATTGCTGTTCCCTGGTAGATGATGTGAAAGAGGGGATATGGAGGCATGAAGGCAGGGGAATTTCTCACACAAACCATGACCATGTCTACATGAATGTCATTTGCACTTAAAAGTGTGAAATGAAGTATAAATGGTACATAGTTTTTCACAATTATTAGCACTTTTTTTCACAGGCAACATAACTTCAAAACCAAAATATATTTGCAGGTTAATTTTACATTTATAAGCTTCAGTGATAGCAGAGATAATGATGCCTAGATAGTTTTACCTCAGCTGTGAATAGTTGGTGGCAATAGCTTGATGTAGGGGATTGTGTGATCAGGGATGGTGATTGAAATCTACAGATGAGTTTGAGGTCAAAGGGAAATGAAGCTGTGTATATCTGGCAGATTTGTTTAACACTGCATTTAAAATGAATTAAAGACTACTCATTTCATCAGGTATTCATTGAGCTATAAAGTGTGAAACAAATAACAAACAACATACACACACACACACACACACACACAC